GAGAGAGAGAGAGAGAGAGAGAGAGAGAGAGAACGACCGAGACAGATGCACATACAAATCACAGCCCGCCCAAATGTGCCGCTGTGCTTGCTACTGTAGCTCACCTCCTTCGCCCGTCTATGGCTGTGCATCATCAGCGTGGGCGGCGGGTTGAGCCCGGTGCCGCCGTTCATGAGAGCCCAGTGCAGCTCCGGGGGTAGGTCTGTGTTGACCGGCTGCCCGTAGAGTACGTAGTTTGGCGGTCGCCCGATTATCCAGCCCTCCCTGCCACCCAGGCATTCCTTCGCGATTGTAACCTGTCGTTGTTTACCATCGTTTTTGCCACCGAGAAACGGGAGAAACGCATGTCGGAAGCGACGTCAGGTTTTTCATCCTCCTCGTTGCGAAAAAAAGAAATGTTTGCCTGTGGAAGAGGATGAGCTTGTTGTGTTTTCGTTGTGGAAAACAAAACAAAAAAACGAGGCAGACACAAAAACTACCAGTGGAAGCCACTTGTCGACACCACTGGGACATACGTTATACCGCAGTTGCCCCACCGCCCCATGGCGTCGCCTGAAAACACCGCAGTTGCCAACCGGCCCGGTCGTTCCCATCTACCGCCCTGCCGCCACGTGCTCCTTCTACGGAAGCTACCACACTGATGTATATATATATATATTTTTATCTCACTACACGTAAGAAAACAACGTACACACAACGGTGACTGCACGACATCTTCTCGACACCACAGCTTCTGAAGCCCTATAGGTTTCAGTGTCTGTTTCTCAGATGTATATTCGAATCCGACCCCACTTTTTCCAATCACCACCCTCTATTATTCCTTGGTTTAAGACAAGGCGATCTCTGGCATCTTCTCTAAAAGCACGTTGTTTTTCTTCGGTCGATGTTTCTCGAGATTCCATCAACAGATTTTCATGTGGGTTGGAAGATGTGTCCCTCGTGGCCCCGTCCGCCCCTCCTGCAATTTTGGTGCAAAACCTTAACCTTATGTCAGTCCATGAGATACGAGTCTGTTGTTGTTCGTCTTGCTCGTACATCTGCCCCGTGCGAAGAACCGAAGAACCGAAACACACCCTCCCTCTCCATCTTTTACACCCACAGGTAACTCGCCGCAACCCACGCAGGTCGACGCGGCACCGCAATCGAATACGTCAATCAAGGACACAGCTCGCGTGAACAATGCGTGAAGCGTCTGCAACACAAGGAAAAAATACTTCTACAGTATAGTCCCTAGCTATACCAGGCACAATAGGGCAAGACAAGAGCTCACATCGTCTTTGTCGTTGGTGTAGAACGGTGCGCCGTTCCGAAAGCCCGCCAACTCGTACGTGCCGTTCGCCTACGTATCACCCGGGGCGGCAACACAACGTATGAGGGATAAATCAGAAACACGGGAAAGGCATGACACGGCGGGAGGGAAATAGCAGCAGGGGGGGG